CATTTATTGGTTTCTCTCTATGATCTAATTGATTTGTATAGGAGTTGAGGAAATATAGATGCAAAAACTATGACTTTATAGTACTTGTAGTTTTTATATTTCATTTTGAAAGCTTTTACAAAAGTAATCGCGATTATTTTTTTATTAAAATCAACATACAACCTCCGGGAAACTTTGTATTAGGCGGTTTATATCTTTCTGATAACGTATCGTATGATATTGACTTAATAATAGTGAATTGTTAAGTTGTATGACTTATTCTCTTTTTCATTACAGGGTTGTGAAGATTATAAAATTACACATTTGAAATCATGAATCGATCAATGTTAGACCACTATTAAAACCTGGAAGCACTTGGTGGCCGTTTCGTCCTGGTATGGGACTAATCAGAAGTGAGCATCCACGACTCCTGCACCTCGTAGGATTCGAACCTGGGACCTTCGGTCTTGTGCGCGAATGCCTAACTTCTGGACCACTGAGCCGATATCTATGTGATAAATACAAATGTAATAATCTATTTCAACGCTTAAATTAATCGAAATTTAACTGTAACACCAGTTGATATTCATTAGAATCTAAAAACTAAATAATTGTTTCTTTTGCAAAAATACAAAAAATAAATTGAATAAAACTAAAAATATCTTATTGTGTATTATGTTTTTTTAATTATTCCGTGAAAATGAAAACTGGACGATATCCTAACAATCAGAGAGAAATAGCTGAAGTCATTACATTCCAGTTTTAGATGATAGATCATTGTGTATTCCCTATCACTTCACCACATCCCGCCTCACCCGACCTTACCCACACATACACACAGTTTATTTTAGGACGTTGATTGAGAAATGCCAAATATTATGGAAAAAGGTTCTGTTGGACAGACTGTACAGGTAAAAGATTGCTTTTTAATATAGTTAATATGAGAGTAATGTTAGTAATCATGTGTAAGACTTATATAAAATGAAAGTTTACATTGATCATGAATAATAGTGAAAGAGTTGTATAACTATGAGAAGACCAACATAGTAGCCCAACAACTGCACCTTTGAACTATGTTCAATCCCAGTCAAACTACATCTGTTCAATCTGCTGTCTGTAGTCTAACTCTTCAGCATATAAAATCAATGGAGGTAAGAGAACAAAAAGACATGAATCTTAAAATAATAAACAGATAAACAATTATAATAGCTTTATTATTGAGTGGAATAACTCTGAATTACTGTGACTGATTACGATTTAGTAAAAATAAATCTATCCAAGTAGTAATCACTTGAATAATTCAGTGCTTAGATCTTATTACATAATATAAATTAACTTAATTGTATCAGTCATACATTTTGATGGACAGTTCTAACACTTGTTAATTAAGATTCTTTTTTAATCAATATGAAAATATTATAGTAGGACAATGTTCTGTGAACATTCATATAAACATATTTATCCGTTGAAAAAGGTTTCCAATTTCAATCTTCCAATCCACTCATGTAATATTTTAATAAGCAACGTGGTTAGTACTATGCATCCACTTCATTCTGTATTGCTAAACTAGTTTTAGGTAGATATCAGTTCTACGATACTAACGTCAGCCAAGCAATCTCATACACTTACATGTAATTTGCACATACACCTCTGGTATTTTGTCAATATGTTTGTTGATTTTAAATTCCATAATAATTTCATTGTTTTATTTGCTTCAAACTATAAACCACTGGACTTTATTACCATACTTAAACATCGCTTGAATTTTGTGACTTTACAATTAATGCTTATTAACTATTCCTGTTTTTCTCACTTTTATTGATTTGAACCGTAACTACTTATAAGTAGTCAGAATGTTATACCGAAAACTTACTCCCTCATAGATAAGAACCTGATTCGACGGAAAACATAACCTCATATCCACAAGGACTGTTAATTTCTTTTTACATAAGAAAAAAAGAGTGAAAAGTAACACTTTTGAGTAAGTCAATTACATTTTCTTTCGTTGAACAGTAGTATTAGTAGTAGTAGTAGAAGAAATAGTGTAACAACAAATCTGATGGTAAAGATAATGATCAGTACAAAAAATATTTAACAATAATAACATTAGTAACAGTAATACATACAGTAATAACAATGATGTCAATAATGATTGTAGCAATAATAGTAATGATTAATTCTCTTTATTTCATGTATATTTTTTTTGTATGTCTTGTTATGATGACTGCATAGAAAAGAAATCTTTTAATGTGTAATTATTCTCTGTAAGTTTTTTTGTGATTCTTTTACAAAGTTAGAATCGTTTTTTTTATCTGACAACATCTGATGCCTACATAGATTGACTTAAGTTTCTTATTCTTGTTACATGTGTTCACATACACAATTTATTTTGAAGAAAAAAATTTAAGTGAATTTCACTCAGTTCATTGTTTTACTGAGTTCTTTATCATGAGAAACAAAAGACAAAACACATAAATAAAAACTGGTCAATAGTAAAATAATTGAAATAATCTTTAAATTAATTTCATCGAAAATATTGTTAAAATGACAGACAGAGTGTGGTAATTTTTGTAATCTACAAATGATTTTCATTTTTTTTTGTGTATGTGAGGAGGATGAGAAAAACTATACCGTGAACAACTGAATGAACAGAAAATGGAGTGTATGTAATAAATTGAATTTCTACCGATTGATGAAGGAAGTTTAACAGGCAGAAAAATGAATGAATGGGACACATTTGATAGAATGAATCAATAATTTGAAGAGTATATATGTGTTCAGATTTCTTACATAACTGAATGAATACTTTTCATTGAAAATACACATAAACTAACTAACTGATCAGTAAGTAATGATTTCAATCGAAAACACTTAATGACTTGACATACACACACACGCACACAATGACATACATTTCTTATTGTAAAGAAAACTTTAAGAAAATTTATTTTTTGATTAGTGTATGATAAAATCAATCACACAATAGAATTCTCAATTATCTTTCATTCAACATGAAATACAATATCAGACAAATGAAAATCATTCATGTTGAAATGATTGTGATATATATTTATTTTTGATGGCGCTACTATTAATTAAATATTCTTTATTTTATGATTAATAAATTGTTTTAATTATTTTACTCAAACACTTTCATCAATAAGTAGACGGAAAAAAATGTATCTCATTAAGCATTTTTAAATCTTATTGCTCTTAACTTCATGGTTGGTTTTTACTACTTTGCTTTTGACAGATAAACAATTGAGAATGGAATTAAGATTCTTAAAAAAATAACACATACATCATGTGTATGTACATTGAATTAAGGGTATATATAGTAAAGTGTTTCAAGGCATTATGATACTTAAAGGATGAATTCATTCACTATAAATTTTTTTTCCAATAAGTACACATATGTAATTTATATACACACATATATATATTTATAAATTTCCTTTTTATATGACAAATGAAGATAAATTATTATTATTATGATTATCAACTGAACAAGATTGAAATGATAATGAATAGATGCAAAACATTAATTCAAACATTTATGACAATTAGAATTTTGATATTCTGTAGCTTTTATTGATGAAATGGTAAATAATGGAGAAAAAAGTGATAAAAAAAAGTTTTTTTACCACACCAAAATGAAGAGGAACAATTTAAAATAAACATCAAATAATCTAATTTAATGCTTTTCATTGATTTTTAACAAGTTTTATAATAACCGGTAAATTATATATATATATATATATATATATATATATATATATATATATATATATATATATATATATACGTGTACGTATTATCAAAGATAATGGCAAGTGAGAAGTTGGTTCAAGGTCATACATATATATATTTATATATTTATCGTCACTGTAAATGAAAAATGAATGAACTGTAAAAAAATATGGTAATTCAGTTTTTTTCTCTCTTAAATAATTTCTTAATTTGTTCTTGTTTATTTGCAAAGACAAAATAAGTTGAATTTTTTTTATATCGTTTTTTGTTGTTGTTGTTCTTCGTTTTTTTTTGTCCAATCGATTTTCCGAAATTTTTTTTCATAATCCTGTGTTTTCAGGCCTTTCACTTTTCAATCGATTCTATATTTAGTTGAATAAGATAAAGAGATAAACTGAATTTTTTCTTTAAAAATAAACTTATATTTCAAATTTGGTGAAGTGCACAAAATACCATGTGTTGTTCAATCAATGAAATACCGGTATGATGAATGTGTTATGTAATGTCATGAAAATGAACAGAAAAAATATATGTTACATTATTTAGTTAAATAATTCATAATGAAATGAGGTATTATGAAATTTGATAATCTGATGATGAGATTAATAAGAATAATAATAACAATAATAGCAATAATTCGTCTGTTTGTTCAAGGTTAATGAAAAAATAATTCATGTTTATTTACGTCTGTTTTGTTATTAATTCTGAACTAGGCATATGAGTATGTGAAAATAGGGATTAAAACAGACACAAAAAAAAACCCAAATCAAACAATGAAATGCACTGACAAGCAGTGATACTTTTTTACATTACTCATTTACCTACTTAAACTTTAGTAAGTAGTATAATCTAACTAAAGAAATGTTCCCAACAGTGAAATTTTTGTGATGTAAGAAAAGTTGTTTAAATATATTTTCGTATGACATAAAGTAATAATAATAATAATAATTTATGTGAATCAAAAAAGCGTACTTATGACCGGGATATTCGATGAATATTTACTGAACAAAGGAAAAATGAATAGAGTAGCACATTAAAAAAGTATGGGATTCAGGGAGGGATCATCTGTGTAAGTGTAATCTGAACTGAAGCAAAACCAGCATATATATATTATATCAGAATGTTTAAAATTATGATAGAATTACAATTGATAAACACATTGAACAAGTGAAAATTTCATTTGTCATTCAAACTGTACAATCTTTTTTTTTTGTTTCCTAATCATGTCAATAAAATTAAAGAAATATTGTCCTTTTAATGTGTTGTTTAATTTAGAAAGTAGGAAATAAACATTCATTATTATCAGAATTATTTTCATTATTATTATTATTATTATTATTGTTATCATTATCCTTTCGTAAATTATCCTCTGATGAAATAATTTCATTATTATTGATTAAATTAGATTTATCAGTGAATTTCCCATTGTTTAAACATTTACTTTCTCCATTTTCCAATATGGTAGTAGTATGATTATTTTTACTACGACGATTTGTTGTTGTAGAATGTGTATTTTTATTATTATTATTATTGATATTATTGTAAATAGTAGTATTACTGTGAGTAGTGTTATTTTTACGTTTTTCTATTGTATCTTTTGTATTTAATTCAAACATTGGTAAATGTTGTGGTGTATACTGATGTCGACGTCTTCGTTTACTAGAATTCATTGTTTCTGAATGTTGTTTTTCTATGATTGTTGAATTTTGACCTTGATTTTCTTCTTGTTGATTTTTATCACTTAAATAAAATGGAGTTTGATCATTGAATTCCGATGATTTTAAATGATATTTTATCTCTGAATGATTATCAATTTTACAATCAATATTATTATGATCATTAGAATGAATTTTATTTACATTAGAATTTGTTTGATGAATATCAACATGGGCGCATTCATCAATATCACCGTCAACAATATCATCCATTCCATCAATATCACATTCCGTTACTGATGATAAACAATTGATTTTATTCTTTTCTTTATTCATAAGTTTGCTATGATGCTTATGATAGTTTGATGATGAGTTCGAAAATGCATCACCTTCATCATCATCATCATCATCATCAACATCATCACCATTGTCGATATTATGATGATGAGAAGTGTCATTTGATGTTGAACTACTACTATTACTACGTTTCAATGAACGATGATTGATTAGTAGTGTTTTATCAATCTTATTATTCAAATGTACATTTTCATAATTCATTTCGTCAAGATTGTTGTTTTTATTATAATGTGAATTAGTTAAATTCTCGTCCTTATTATTATTATTATTACTATTATTATCAGAAGATATCATACATTGATCATTGATTTCATTGATTTGTTGAAGATTTAACATAGATTGATTATCGATTAGATTAAATTCATTATTGTTAACAGTTAATTGACAATTATACTGTTCATGTTTTAAATTCAATGAATTCATATTATCATCAGTTGGTGATGATGATGATGATGATGATGATGATGATGACGATAATGAAGACGATGTCCCATTAAGAAGGTTACCATTACATGATTTGTTTGCTATTGTTTCCGTTGATCTTTGTGCTAACATTTGCGATGATGATATTGATCCTGTTGTTGTTGTTGTTGTTGTTGCTACTGCCGACGAAGATAATGATTGACCGATTTGATATCCATTAAATGAAGATTCTTTAACATCAATAGAACTTTTTTCAATATTATTATCCAAATGATTTTCAGAATTCACAGTACAATTAATCACATCATTAGTTTGTTGTTCATCTTCCCTTTCATGATGATTATTATCAATACTTTCTATAGGATGATTTGATTTATGAATTGTTTCATCTTGTTCATTATCATCGTCAATATTTGAATTTCCATGAAATAGAAAATCATACATCAAATTAGATGTAGTTATATCATCTTTATGATTTTCATTATTATCATGATTATCATTATTAGTTGATGTGTCAACAATATCATCATTAAGTACATTAATGATTGATTCATGATTATCTTCATTCATTTGCTGTTCCATATCATCATTATCACAATAATTAGCGTTGTTGTTGTTGTTGTTGTTGACAGTGGTCGTGTTAGTTGTAGTCGTTGTAGTCCTAGTTATCATATTATTCATTTCATCTCTTATTCTATCATTATTAAGCCATTTATTATTACAATCTTCATGATTTGATTTTATTAAATTTTGATTAAATTCTTCAAATGTTGACATATTATCTGATGTTGATGATAAATCACCAGTTGTTGAATTTACCAAATGTGGTGATGTTGGTGCTGATGAATAATTATTATTTACAGAATTATGTAAAAATGTTTGATTGGAATGAGTATGTGTTAAACGAATTTGTTGTTGTTGTTGTTGTTGTTGTTGTTGTGGATGATGATGTTGATGATGATGATGATGATGATGATGTTGTGAATGATTACTTGTAGTAGAATTTGATATTTCCGATAACTTGTCACTATTATTATTATTATTATTATTACTATTATTATTATTACTATCAATCCCTATGAATGTGTTAGATCCAGTTAAATGATTAAGTTGACTTGATTGTAAACAATGTTGATGAGCTGGTGGTGGTGGAAGTTGTGACATTGATTCATTATTATGTGAATGTTTCATATGAATAGTATCATCATTACTGTTTATACTACTATTACTACCACTATTAGTAGTACCAGGACCGATACTATGCGATTTATATAATGATGCTTGAATATGTGAATTTTGTTGAATAGTAGAAGTAGTGGTAGTAGAAGCATTAGTTGCTGATGTGATTGTTGTTGATGTTGAAGTGGTCGGAGTTGAAATATATCGATCCACTGATGATGCTACAACTGTTGATGATTCAACTGATGGAGAACAAAGACGTTTTGAAGTTGTTAAATGTTGTCGTGTTAGATTGAGTAAATGTTGTTGTTGTTGTTGTTGTGTTTGTGAATCATTTGTTACTGGTGATCCAGTATAACAATGATTCGATTGTGGTGATGAGGATGATTTCATATCAGACTGTCGTTTAGATGATGAGGATGAGGATGATGACGATGATGATGAATGAATATTACGTTGATTCGAATGAATATGTTGTTGATGTTGTTGTTGTTGGTGGTGTTGTGGATGATTATGATGATGATTATATTGTTGTTGAGATTGTGAATGATGATTTGGTGATATATTATTCATGACATTTGAATGATTAAAAGAATTTATATGTTGATTATCATCTGTAGTAAAGTGTGTTCCTGTTTGATGACGATGAGATGCAATACATTGTTGTTGAGCTACTGCTGCAGCAGTTAAATGTTCAACATTTGAGCCATGTACTCCTCCTACTGGTAAATGCTGAAATAATCCAGCATTTGACATTGGACTATAATTTAATTTATTATGCAATAAATCACATTCATTAGGACTAGTCACCCGTGTCTCGCTGGAACACATGGCTGTTGGATTAAAAAAAGCGCAAGAATTCTCAATATCACCACCACCACCACCATTACCACGATTACCGACACCAATTCCAACCATTCCATTACCACTGGCTGCAGCAGCAGCTGCTACAGCACGTAAATGTAAATCTTGATGTGCATGAGCTGCGGCAACAGCAGCTGCCGCAGCCGCCGAAGCAGCAGCAGCAGCGGCAGAAGGATGTGAACCATGTGCATGAATAGCACTACTACTACCACTCCCACTTCCACCCCCATGTGAATGACGGCTACCAGTAATATGAGAACCTGAACTTGAATCAATCACATTTCCTCGACTCAGTGCTGATGCAGCAGCAGCAGCCATTGCAACTGAATGATTATGGAAACCAGCAGCGAACAGATTATCGACACACGTTGAATTTCGTAAATTATTATTATTATTATTGTTATTATTATTATTATTGTTATGACTACGGCTGTGATGGTTATTGCTTCTACTATTATTATTATTGTTTGAACCATTTCCATCAATACCAGCTGTAGCAGCAGCCTCTTTATGACGATCCACATGTTTTGCTAAATATGTCTCTGAATTATAATTTTTCGTGCATATTGGACAGACTAATACCTGTGAAAAAATAAAACGATTATAAAAAATAAACAAATTTGTTTAAGCTTAGTTTTGCTTAACTTTATGATAACATAAGATCTCTCAATAAGTAAGTTTTATATAAAGTGGCAAGAAGTTGGTATTAAAAAAATGAACAATATGCTTTTGAAGGTTGTTTGGTGACAAAGAAAGAACTAATGACAACTCAAGAGAGAACAAAATACACGAAAGTGCAAAATGTTTATTCATAAGCGGGTATCGAAGACTGTTGAATTTTATAGAGACCTAAGTTAGACCACTATTAAAAACCTGGGACTTCTCAGTACTACATGATATTCTAGAAAAATAGTTCAATCAATATGAACAGAATTGGGACAAAGAATGTATGAATTGATAGTAACGATAATAATAATACTATTTGTTAAGCTTATATAAATTCCTAGAGTTAACATACATAAGCTACAATGACTCATTTTTGGCTATTTCATTTAGGAATTACCAATTGAAATTACAATTGTCTAGTCAATTTTGTCCAAAAGGTTTATCTCTCGTGATACGATATAGACTAACAGTCAATCATTTCATAATCAAACACGACTCCTCTTTTCCGTGTTATCCTCAGGTGTCTTTCAACCAGAATTTAACCAACACTAAATTTGGGTATACAGTAATTGAACAAATCGCGTTACATGTCCCTACCACTTTATTGAAGTTGAAATCACGTCATCGATTTATTAGTCTCTTTGGATAATAATTTATGAATGATATCAGTCATATTTACCGAGGTTTTTTCATATCCCAGCAATGCTCCAAAGACACCAGAGATTACACTTTAACAACTCATGAGTACCTTTTGCTAATGTTCCATAGTTCAGCACAATCTGATAGATAGAATGTCGTTCCCTCCGTGTTATATATATATATATATATATATATATATATGTATATATTTCATGTTTATCAGCAACTACCCAATTTAACCTTAGTTTCAGTGAAACACTCATGATCATAGGTAATGTTCTAAACTACTCACTGTTATCACTATGCATATGCGCACACTTCAAAACACGATATTGACTATTTAGTTATAAAGTATTTGTTAAGTAAAGAAATTTGTTGATTCTTTTCAACTCCAAACTATGCATATCTAAAGATACATATTTCAGTTATCAGCAATCGAATTACTGATAAATATAAGTAGTATGTTTGCGGTATTTATCCTATAAGAAAGTGATATTTTTATCTTTCTCGTATGATTGAGTATATTATATATTTAAGTATTTTGAATGACCAAACATCTCTGTAACTCTGTAACTCCGCCAGTAGTACCTTCGGGTCTGCTGCCGGTCCCAAGCCCGGGTAAAGGAGGAGGGTTGGACATGGGGTTGGCGACCCCATTCCGTCAAAAAATAACTTGCCAAAAAAATGATAACCAGAACAAATAATTCAAACCATTTTAACTCTGCCCTGAGAGTTGGAAGAAGAATTATGACGTCGCGTGATGAAAGCCGAGTTCCCTCGGAAGTCACGGGGCCGATGCCTCTTCTGACAACCAGAGCAACCATTTTTTTAGGTACATGGAACGTTCGCACATTGTGGGAGACTGGAAGACTATTTCAAGTTGCGGCAGAAATGAAAAGATACAACCTCGAGGTGCTCGGCATCAGTGAAACTCACTGACACAGGTAAGACAACTGAGACTAGCTTCAGGGGAACTGCTGTTATACTCTGGTCATGAAGAGGAAAATGCTTCACATACACAAGGAGTTGCGCTGATGCTGTGTGTCCTATGAAGTCCTGTGAAGTACTGCAATGGTCATAATCAAAATAATGAACAAACTGTGTCTATTGATGAGTTAAATGGTTGGAGAAAGTCAGTAGCACACCCTGAAATAGGTCTTGTGCTAACGTTCCGTGACAAGTATATGCGCGATCAAATTGTTCGAAATACATAGCGTAAATACATCACATTTTCTAGATTGACTAAGTCTTCTCACTGTTCGATCAAAATAAAATTTCTATTCAAAATCAATAAACTTACCTAAAATTACTATTGTTTGTCAAAGGGTTTAATCTAACGGCTTACTATTTGTAATTTTACTTATATCTTTTGTATATATGTCAATATAAGAAATCTAATCATTTTCTTATCAGTACAATATAACTTGATTGAGTGAAAAAAATGTCTGAATAATTAATCATTACCTTAGGGTAATATAAGACAGAATTTAATGCTGTTTAAGACTTGTCAGTTGTAATTAATAGATCACTTGTGTTGTTGTTGTTATTGACTAAACTCTATGTGTCATGAATGACTAAAATGACATAATGGACATCATGAAGTTAATTCTTCAGAGAAACATTACATCTACTTGAATTTCGGTGGCCTACTGTTAATAAGTGCTAATCAATACGAAACTATGACCTGTGTCTTGCTTCAAATTAACTATAATCATATAACCTCAAAGTTGTTATTCATTTATATCTGAACTGCCTACTACCTAAAAGTAAATAATATACTTGAAAGTTTAATCATGTATAAAACATGCTTTAAATATATTTGTTTTGTGTTACATTCCAAACTACTTTTTAATAATTAAGTAACTTCAGGTTCACTTTACTATTTTTGTGGCTTCTACCATGTGCAAGGTGTGGAATAGCGCTGGTAATAAAATCAATCTAAGGTCGAAACTGAAACTTCTAACGACTACCACGCTACAGTACTAAAGGCGGTAAATGCATCGTGTACAGGTGGTTTTAAAATAACCGCGAAGAATTGCCCAACAGTTCTTAGTCAACCAAAAAACATATATATATAGTTTATCGAGAACACAATTATATAACAAAGTGTAAACAGACATTATATTATTGAAGAATCTTTTAGAGTCTTCAACAGGTTCCTCTACTTGTTAAGTGATGAAAATACGAACATATAAACTCATTCGATCGGATATGGACGATCTTTTATCTTGAACTCTTAACGGAACGCATTTTTTGAGTCACCAAAATTGTCCTAGTTTAACGTTAGGATAAAAGAAATCATGACTTAAGGTTTTCATCATAAATCGAAACAATGTTCTAAGTGCACAATGTGTTACAGCTCTAATATGGATAGGTGAATTTAACACTAAAAATTCAAACAGTTCTATTATTAATCTAATACATTTATATATAAATTATAGTCTCACGAGATTAAGATTTATTTCAAGAAGAAGAGTTAGAATTCATCTGTTAAACATAATCTGAATTAAATAAATAGTTGAGTATTTTCATACATTTAATATTATCTATTCGCTTCATGACAGCATAAAACAATACTTCTTTATTATTATAAATATTCAGGACAGTATAGGAAGATATTTCTAATGTTTATTTTTCATGGACTAAACTGAAATCATTTTGTAAGAATATGGTTAAGGGGATCGCTAAATCTCATTGGATAGGTCTAACTTAGACTTATATATCGTGGAATAGTTGAAGTTATGCCTTAACATTGCCGGATCCCGACGCAATTGTCTAGAGACTAAGCATTCGTTCTCCAGACAAGGACGCGGATTCGAACCGCTAACACAGAGATCACACAGTGGATTTCAGGTTTGCTATGGAGGTCTAAGCATGATCGATTCATGATCATTCAGTTTCGCCGTCCCACGTATACTATATACATTTTGCATTAAAAACAACATGAAAAGAAATAAACAAAGATTTGAGAAAATAAAGTTTACAGAATAAATTGATATATTTGAACGATTTTGACCAATCCCCCACTCACTTCACAACCACACCGTCACCATATACGGATTTGATGGGATTGGATGGAGCTATATTTCATTGAAAATCTCGTTTTAAGACCAATATTAGATGTTATCTACATTGATGTATACTTCTTAAAACCAATTTCTTTTTCCGGTTATTGGTGTATGGTGTTAATGTGGGAGATTTTCAATTTTTTTCTCATCTAAAGCAGGTTATAAAGGTTTTTTGGAATAATCTTAAAGTAATTTTTGCGAATTGTTGTAACTTCTTATATGTTGTTTATCTTATGAAATCTTTCCAATTGACTCTCATTAATTTTTTAGGAAAAGATAATTCTGTATTGAACACTGAAGATTGAACGTACTTAATCCAATAAGTAATGATTCTATTAAAAATATGGTTGCGAATAAACAATCGAAATCTTACGAATAATTAAAAATTATAATTATTGTTATACTCTATGAGCGTAACTTTTGTTCATGTTTCTCACTCTGAAAAAATAAGTTATTGACAGCAATCAAAGGTATTATTCGAAGAATCAATTAAAAAACGAGAAATAAACAGTCATGAAGAATTCAGAAGGTTAGAATTTAAGAGAACACAGAGAAATAATGCACCTGCATCATTGTGAACGGTTTTGAGCCATGTCATTCAGGGTTTCTAACCATCGACTAGCATCATCTCACGGACCCCAACCAGGTAGCCTACACTTAACAACATGACTCAGACCAGTTGTTAGTGACTTTATAGCTTTGTGTCATGTCATTGGCATATCCTAAATCAACAAGCAAATCTCCTGGTAGAAGAGAAACTTCTGAAAAGTCAGATGATGAAAGTGTCCCACATAAAGGCATGTCAATCAATCCGCTATAATCTTTGTCTCGACTAGCGGTGTTCGAGTAAAGATCTTGAATAGAGTTAATGTACTTCTTTGGTACTCTTTTCATTGACAGACACTGCCATAAAACCTCACAAACCAGAATGGTTTTCTCGAGTCTGCTCTTCACAAGCTCAAGTTAGGCGTCGAAGTATTATTCAGTCAAACTGATTCGTTTTTGATTGTCACAAGAGAGCTTTTGTTCTTTCTCACAAATTGGGACAATCATTGATTAGGATCAGTCATATCAGATTGCGTCCAGTTCCTAGATTCAGCGTAAGATGTCAGTCAATCTTATTGTTAAAAATGGACCACTATCTTTAAAAATCTCAGGGATTGTTGAGGCATAGCGAAAGAGATGCTGGTAGTCAAATAGACTACCTGTTCCACTCTTGTCTTCCTAATAAAGTAGCCATGTTTGGACTTAGCATGTATCGCGTTTCTGTATCGAACACCGTATATATGACTCTCGGGAGTCCCACACACACAATAGTTGTTCGTTATTTCCCAGTCTTTAGTAGTTGTTCAACGAAGAAGTCATGTTGTTAACTATAGAACATGATAATTCTTATCAAGTATGCAGTTTCTTAATGTGATTCAAACAAACTTTCCGGAGTTTTTGATAATTGTAACTTGGCATCTTAATTTGTTCTTTTGTTTCAAGAAAAAAAAATGAACGAAAAGATAAATGACAATAAAATAAGCAAACAAGCAAGCAATAACAAAAATCAGATTGATTTTTATTGATAAATTAGATTTTTTTTTGTTTTTTTGTATTTACGCACTTTTTTACTCACCTTCGCATATCGGTTACCCGAATGCTTTGCTTGTACATGAACATCTAATTCTTCTTTTGTATCAAATGACATGAAACATTGTTCACAACGATATGGTTTACCTTTCATATGTTGACGTTGATGTGATTGTAGATTAGACATTTGTGTAAAACTTTTCATACATGTTGTGCAACTATCAATAGAAGTTGTTTTTTTTTAAAAAAAAAAAGATAGAAAATCACTTGAAAGTATATTACCATATTTCAATTATGCAAGATATTTGAAAAAACAAAGAAAAATTATAATATAACAATGATTAGTGAGTTAATACATTGAAATGTAATTGATATGTTTGCATATTTTAATGTGTACTTGTATAATAAACAGAGTAAGAACAAAGAATTAAATAGAATAAAATAAAATTCATTTTATTTCATTAGAATCTTAGCAACTGTTTACAACTAGCGTAATTTAAACAAATCAGCATTATAGTAAAGTTAACATATTCATAACAATAAAACTGGATAAATATCATTATGCCGCACCACTGTAAAACATTTACTGTGACACAGGGTATCCAGTTGAAAAATTGAAATCTTTCAGCATCATCAACTGACCGTCGAATACCGCTCTTTTCAAATTTGCTAAAATCACAATCATCAAACGTTGCTAACCAAACTTATCTATCCAAAAGTGAACATGATTAGTAGAGATAGATGGTAGTTGGCAGTGGAATAAGGGATGAGCATTTCGCCCCTAGTTGAGACTCGTCGACAGTTTCAGTCCTGAATATTAATGAGAAGATTCCAATAACTAATACAAACGAATTAGTCTTCACCCTATTGAACACACTAGTGTCTATCTGGAGTCCGTCGCTAAGTGGAGAATGCAATGGCGTTTGAAGAAAATGGTATTGGGTTCTGAAATGCAGATACATCCAAACGGTAAGTTCCAAACAGGACAGTAGGCACGTCCTGCATTCCGCTGCTAACCATTATCCATTTCTGATTTTAATGTTTGTAACTTAATTACCACATTGAGGCAATCCGGGGATAGAATACACATATTCCAAAGAGATTGATCAATGACAAGATAGTAAAAAGAACTGATCATATAATGTAGTGATTTAATTAAACCTGTTGATTATACATGTTCAAGTTTATAATCAAGTAAAATTATATTAATAAAAAGTAAGCTGCTGATTAATTCATGTCAAATACTATTCGATTTAATTTAAACAAATCTAACTGTAAATATTATCGCATTGAAAATTAGTATGTTCAAATGTTGCTGTTTCATTTATTTTGTTATGTTAAATAAATCTTCATCTATCTTGTGTTGTTGTTCCTTGCATTGTACTATTCATGGTTTACTATAGTGAATTCAAGTTTATTGATCAAATATAAAATTACCATCAATTGAGTTATTCTTTGGTGTTTTCTTTCCCTACATCGATTTCTCTTAATGCAATTCATATAAAAAAGAAATAGTGTTTTGCATTTCTTCTTTATGAATAGACAACTAACTGATGGTAATGAATGAATGAATTTATTATTATTATTATTATTATTATTATTATTATTATTTCATTAAATGAATCATTAAAACTTTTTATCAAAGATTAAAACTAGTGAACTTTTATACTTTATTATTTTAACAGTATAAATTAAGATTGAAATAGTCAATAAAGTTTCTGACTTTAATTAATTCATAAGATATACACGTTCAATTTTCCAATGGTAATCATCATGATTTGAAAACAAAAACAAAAAAAACAAAATCCATTTATTCACATTCCTTAAATTTTGTTTAGTTCAAGACATTTAAAATTTTATAAAGATTTGTATTGTTACTAAAAGTATAATGAATAAAGCTGAACTATAAGGAATGTATAGTTCAGTTAGTAGTAGTATTATTTGCTTTTTATTGATTATGATTTAGGATGAGGTCTATGTTTATAGATTAATCTATGCGTAAATCAAATCTTAAATTCTTTGAGTCTTAGTCATCATAAACTATTCGAAACCATATTTTCTAGCTTCTGATTGGCTGAATCAGCCAAGGTCAGCTAAAGGGTCACTTAAATTCATGCTTATAAGTTAGCTTTACATCATAATGAATTGATGAACATGGACACGGTTAAAATAGTCTCAAACTAGAATGAAAGTGTACACAAATGAGTGGCTAATAGTAGTTTCAATGCTAAACACAATTTTAAAAAAGTCTAAATGATCGTAACCTGACAACTGATTCTTTGTACTAAAATGACAACAGCTTCCAACGATTTTCCTATTGTTGAATTACAAATATAGAATAGATCAGATTGCAAAAGAGAAAGAAATCAGGCGGAAGCACTGGAAGTGGATGGGACATACATTTAACAAAGCTCCCAACTACGTCTTAAGACAAGCCCTCACATGATGTCCTCAAGGTCAAACGAGAAGAGGAAGGCCAAGAAACACTTTGGACCGAGAAATAGAGAAAGATATGAGAAGAATGAACAAAAATTGGACAGAAATGGAAAGGGCAGCCCAGGATAGAGAAGGTTGGAGAACACCGGTCGGCGGCCTATGCTCCGATGGAGGTAACAGGCGTAAGTATGTAAGTAACGAGTTTGAAATGATTTATTCACGGATCTAAACACTGACATAGCCACTTATAAAAGAATGAAACCAATGATAGTGAAAAAGACCTAGCGTAACTTATGCAATCTAAAACTCGAAATCCTACATAAGTTTATACCAGAACATAAAGAAAATTCTTTTCATACTAATTTTTATAGAATGGATAGCTTTCTTATACTGAGATGTTTAACATGTCTGTAAAGATTTCATGGTCTCACGATTGTGAGTATCACCAATTTAATGAGGTATATGTAATGAAAAGTAAATGTGATTGACAATAATCTACTAGTTAACTAGTTGAATTTATTTTAAAGTAGTTGCTTACATTTCATTCATTATTATCATTTTGCATTTATTTAATCTAATTTTCATGAATAATTTTAAAAATAAATTTCCATCAAATTTAATTTTAACTTTTATTTGTGTATGCGACAATTCTATCTAACTTTTGATCATTTGATCTTTCTAAAAAAAATAAATTTTTTTCATTGTTTCGATCTATTTTATAATGAATTTCTCATATGATTTGTTGTCTGATTTGTAAAATCAGTAAACCTTACTCAACAATGGTAGGTCCATTTTTTTTTTAGAAACAAAACAACAGAAAAAGTTTATTGTAGTTCTTTGATACACCTGTGATTTAATGAACTGATACCACTTACTACTCAACTGTAGATTTGGTTTTAAGAGTTATTATAATACTAATTGACTGTGTAAACTAAAATAAGGTAAGTTATGTTCAAAGTTGAATCTATTATCAATTTAATTAATTGATAATTGAATGACTGGACTATGTGCGTTCTTGTTTAAATTGCTGAATTTGTTAATCTTCGTTCTGTCTATGTATAACTCATGATTTTACCAGTGATACACAATACACGTCCCAACCAGTTATGCAATCAAATGTTTTAACACCATTATTTTGGATTACAAAAGAATATTTTGGAAAGTTAGGATTCTATAAAGTTACTTAAAATTCATAGGGAAATAATTTAACTTTCCAGTTGAAATAAAACACAAATGTTTTTAGACATTTGCGTATACTGAAGGGTAATCACATTCAAATTAATTCAAGGACTGAAATGTATTGAAACAACTGAATTCCTTTCTATCTCCTCCCTTTTATTTTTCTGCTTTAATATATTTAACTAACTATAAAAGAAATGTCAAATTAAACAAAGCGTTTGTAATTTATATTTTTATAAATTTAGTTTTTATGCATCCCTGGACTTATGAGGTACTTTTTACAGTCAGTAAAAAAAAAAATTATACAGAGGGGAGACATAATCACATAAAATAAAACCTGAGCGTATGATAGACGGATTCTGCGTATTTTTCTATCTTCATATTATAAACGGGAGTTAGTGTGTTAGGGAGACAAAAGACAGCTGAACACAAACGTCCGAAAACCAGAACTGACCTAGATTCAGACCAAAACATATATGTATATATAGATATATATATTATATATAGACTTATGTCTGTCTATGTTCATTTAAGTGCGTACTTGCGTTCGTGTGTACGCATGCGTTTTAGTTGTATACGTAGATTAGTCATACAGACAAATACAAAAATATTAAAGGCCAATATTCAAGTATTCTAGAAATCAACGACTATTACAGAACTCGGCAGATTGTCTTCGTCTAGGCGTATTAATAATAATAGCGTATCTTTCTTCCTATAACATTTTGAGATATCTTTTTTTACCTATCAACCCCACTGTATATTGTAGATATGAGAAAAAGTCTTATACTCACAAAAACTTTTTGCATTTATCCACGTTACCTATTGTCTGATATACATCTCTTAACTTACGCTGTACCACTTTAGTAATGTCATCTAAAGTATCCACTTTTATGTATTGCTCTCATTTGTATGCATCTTCACCAGAATTGTCTTGATTTATCTACTACTTTTAAGCATCATCCACACATGAATATATATATATATATATATTAGCGTTTTATTTTGTTCTGTGTTGCAGCTGTACAATATTATAAGATATACTGTACTATAATTCAATTCAATCGTTGATAATTTAAAATTTACACTGACATATGTATTACCCATCTATACATGTATAAATCTATTCATGGACATAAGTATACTATGATATGGTCTCTAATATCTACTGAATGTATTTGTCAACAAAAGGGAAGTGTAGTATTAGTATTAGTAATAGTAGTAGTAATAGTAGTAGCAGTATACGGTTGACAAGTTTAAAAACCATTTGAGTGAAGATAAAAGAGGGGGAAGAAGAAAAGCTGAAAAAACTCTCTCTCTGAAAAAAACACCACTAATGGACAAAAATGTAAAATTAAGTAAATAAAAAATTAAACAGAATCAAAAACATGATATAGAAAGAAAAGAAATGTATTCTTGTTCATCATCGGATAGACAATAACTAACAGATTATGATGGTATAAGAAGAATTAATTAAAACAGTAATGGTTATAGACTGAATAACACTGTTAACAATAGCATTAAAAAAAAACATGTTGTAGTAGACATCAATGAATCTTTGCACATACATTTATTTAATTATCCTACAATGTGTATACACTTGTGGCATATATGTCAAGTTCAATGTTCAAATGTGGAAAAATGATCTTCATCTTATCCATATATTTATAATTTTTACGAATAGATTGGTAACCATAAATGATAAAGTCCCATTACCACGTTTTCGATGTTTGAAAACAAAAGCTGTTATTAATTTATCAAACAATAAAATATTAAATTTTATAGATGTTTTTTTAAACAGAAGTGCACTATGAGAGTGTTCAATCTATAATTTAACTGAAAACGATTGGATAGTTGTAGATGATGATTAGTCGATCAGTTAAAATTCTATGTATTATAGAAATAGAAACATTGGAAATCTAGCTAATTTCTATAGAATTTCGTGAGATTTATCAAGTCTTACATTCTATAAAGTATTTCTAGAATAATTATTCACAACCTATTTTGAAGCACTAAAAGCACCCAAGAACCTGTAAACATTTTCACCCAATCACAGCTCAGTAGAATTTCTAGAATGTCAATGTGGTATAAGTTCATTGGATGATGACTTAACAATGCTCATTGGCAATCGGATGATTCTATATCCTGTTTTAACTCCATACAAAAAACTAAAAATACACACGGTTTCTCCATATATATTTCTAACACTTACTAAAGTGGAGATTTGTGCATTCTCTGGGTTATGTTTTGCGACCCCGTCGACCCCGTCAGACAATGCCAAAGTATGTAACGTCTTTGAATAATAAGTCAAACCGGAAAAGTTCTGAGAGATTTGCAAACCTATGAGCCTTCAGCAAACTGGTGATAGGCAGCACAATATTCCCAAACAAACGCATACACAAAATTACATGGATTTCACTGGATGACAAAACGGAGAACCACACTGATCACATATGCATCAATAAAAGGTTTAGAGGGACAGTGGAGGACGTAAGAGTCCCTAGAGGTACTGATGTTACTTGGCAGTAGCCAAGACGAAACTGAAACTAAAGAAGCACTGGACAACTGGATGAACACTACGAAAAGAGTTTGTTACATCCTTACTTCGGGATACTGACAAACCCAACAATCTCGAAATAGCTCTCAGCTATAAGCTCCAGACTTTACACGATCTACTCAACGCGGAGAGGGAGACTACCATGGGGAACAACTTGAAAGGGATAAATGAAGTAATGACTCTTAAAAATCATGGGGAATAGATCTCTGTTGCTCATCTGGATAAGATTCAAGAAAGAAACAACAGGAAGACAGCATTCAATAACATCTAAAGTAAAGGCTACATTTCTACAATTAAACAACTATCATAAAACACTCAAGTTATAACTTTCAATACAAACGTCAAGACAGTTCTACTGTATTGGGCGGAAACTTGGAGAACTACCAAAGCCATCATCCAGAAGATACAAGTATTCATTCACAGTTGTCAACGCAAAATACTTCGGGTTCGCTGGCCAGAAACTATCAGCAACAACTTTCTGTGGGACAGAACAAACTAGATTTTAGTGGTGGTGGAAATCAGGAAGAAGCTCTGGGAGTGCATAGGACACACATTGCGGAAAGCACCCAGCTACATTACAAGACAAGCCTTCACTTTGAATCTTTAAGTTCAAAGGGAAAGAGGAAAACCAAGGGACACATTACGCTGAGTAATGGAAACAGATATAAGAAGAATGGCCAAAAATTGGACGGAACTGGAAAGGGAGGCCTAGGACAGAGTAGGTCGGAGAATACTGGTCGGCGGCCAATGTTCCGCATCTTAGGTTCAGTAGTTTGAAAACCGAAAACATCAAAAATTAGATCTAAACCAATTCACATTTATAAACGTAGCTACATTGGTGCCATATTTTTTCGTATTGCTTGATCGATACTAACAAAAAATATTAAAATTATGTAGTGATACTGAACAATCATCGCGTAAATCATTTCAACCAGCATTCTAGAGTTTTAATTACAACACAATCACGATACATGTCTAAATATAACAAGAACTGAAGATGATCCAACTTGCTAATTAGTGATTGGCAGTTGAAAGTTAACAGTTTGTGAATCAACATCTGATTAACAGTCATTCTTTACAATGTATGTTGACATTCACTGAAATGTTGCCGATTATCTCTTTTTTTGTATTTTTTTGAAGTGATAAGTTGTAAAATTTTTATATTCATATCTGAATAATTGCTGTATTAGGGAGAATAAAACAAAGATAACTAACTTACTGAAATGTCTAGATGGTATAATAAAAAAGTAGCCCAGATATTCAAACAAATCGGTTAAGTTTAAAAAAATTTATTTATGACTACTACTATTCAGTGATCAGTCAATATAAAAATCCAAGTCCCATAGGATGTTAGTTTCAATGATAAGGTAGCTCAGAATAAAAATTTAATGCTGAATATTGAGAAGGAGCTCTAAAATAATATTTAGAATTTATTATCACACCCTATCGACCACCTAACATCAAGTTATAGCAATAAAACATCATACAAAACTTACTATGACAATGTAAATATTGAGCAAAGCTGAAATTTTGGAATTGTTCTACTGGAAATTATTGTTTATCATTTTATTGTGTAGTTAGTAAATGCTTAAATTACTGTGTCGTATTCATCTAGTTGTATGTTCTTGTTTGATGCATATACTGTTGTTGTATGCTTTACTTTTCTGAAGTAACTGTTTAATAATTATAGATTTATCACTTAGTTCTTTTCAACTTGTAATTTTCATTTTTATATTCTTGATGGTGTGTCCCTCGGAAATTTACATTATATTATTATATGAGCTGAGTCATAAGGATTGAAACGACTCAAATCGAAGTTATTTTATTATTGTGTTTTATTTTATTCTGGCTATTGGACTAACAATTGTGAGAAAATTGTACTCTGGATTAATAATAATCGTTAAGTATTCATTTCGATTATTATCTCACAATATCATCTTGTCTCTGGTTAGTAGGTCACTTGACTTAGAAGCAATCTAGACGAAATAGCTTGCTCATATAATTACAATGCAATCACACTAGCCTTAATACAATTTCAAAAAATATATGTTTTGTTTTGCTGGTACGTAATAAACATATATACAGAAATAAACTATATTCGTCATTAGTTGAATCATATTTTCTATGTATTTAGATTAAGTTCTTAACAAATCGAGTGAAGAAGAATTCAGAGAGACAACTATTGTTTTCCAACATATTCACATGAAACTACATATTTATAGCCTCTTACAAGAGAAGATTCCAAAAAATATTATATGGTAACGGTAGACAGTTAATGCTTGAACACAATCGGTAGAAATGAATGGTTTAATGCTATAAGCATAATTGTAGGATTTTCAATATATTGCTCAATCACTAGTACTTATTCATTATTATTATCAATATCATCATATAACTATAATTGAATACTGTACATTAAAAAATCATAATTTTATAACCATAAAATATATTTTATCAAATGATCAATGATGATTCTGACTTCTGTTATCATTTTGACCAGAATATTGGAACTTAATTCCTTGAAGTGAATATCCATTTGACAAATAAATTTTTTTGATTCATTTCAAATGAAAAATGTAAACTACAACAATATTAGGAAATATTTCAAGCCTCATTACATCATCCACAGTGTTTCAATTTTAATAAAGCCACTATGCTAAAAGAATCAATATCACATTCCGTTATATTCGGAGGTAGCTAGGTTGTGGTCAAACCGAAATATGGCAGAAGTCCATGAAGTCACTGACAAGTGGACTGAGTCATGTTGGTATATGTAGGCTACCTGGTTGGTGATAGTAACCGATAGTTAGAGACCTTGGACTGCATGGCTCAAAATTGTTTGCGATGGCGCGGGGTGCATCCACTCTTTGTGTTCTCTGGAATTCTAATCCTCAGAATTCCTGGTCATCTATATCTTTCTCCTTCTAAAGTTATCACAGTGAATTATACTTCTTGTATAATATCTTCGAACCCTTATCTTCTCATTACCAGTAATACTTCTATTATCTCTAATACTATGGGATTTGAACTGACCACCTGGACTGATATACGCACGTATGAAGTTCTACGTTGTAACTGACTGACTGATATTCAGATGTAATGTGGTTGTCAGAGTTATTGCTTATTACTTCCAACTACATGAGTTATATTCATTGTTCGCATGAATCATTCATATCAACACAACTTGGTAGGCAACCTTAGATGCAGGTTTTATTCTAATTTCTACTTAAAAGCATAGTATACCTGGAATTTTCAAGAAATTTATTACTCATTTTTAGAAATTTTTAATCCTTACTACTGTCCAACTTCGTAGTCAAATGCTAAGTCAGTTAAGTGATCAATCATAAACAGAAAGAGAAAAAAAAATGACACAAAAAAAATAGATTTTAATCTATTAAATAGTCTTAGTTTAAAATCTTCAGATATCATAGATGTAAAAGTCAAAACAAATTATCACTCAAATCATACATGTAGATTCATTTTGAACGACTATTACAAAAAAAAAAGTAATAATCATAAAATTTCACTGGCACCAAATGTCAAAATTAATTGATTCATGTCAATATTAACACTTGGATTTAGTTCTAAACTAATAATGAAACACGTGAAATATTTCAATTTAATTAAATGTTTTTCATATCTCTATAAAATTTTAATTAGAAGACATTTCATACAAATCTTGTATCAAAAAAAACAACGCAACACAACACAACACAATACAAGACAAAACAAAATGGGGATTAAAATTCATCACTTACCGATATGGTTTTTCACCTGTATGTATTCTCTCATGTTGTTGTACATGACTTAATTGAGTAAAACGACGATCACAATAACGACATGCATATGGTTTCACACCTGTATGAATACGTCTATGCTGTGATAGATAGGCACATGTTGAAAATTGTCTACCGCATTGTTCACATCGATATGGTCGAGGATCTTGTTTATGTGTGGCAGCATTATGAGCCGATAAATCATGACGTGAAAAACATACCTAGTGAATGAATCAATAATAATCATAATAATAATAATAATAATAAAGTATTTATTTGAGATAAAATATGAAACAGTTGAGCGTAAAGATACTTTAGTTAAGTTGTACACTTCATTTTTTTCAAATTACGGATTAAACAATACAAGAAATTTCCACAGTTAAAATACAAAAGAAATTTTTGATAATGATTATAAAAGAGCTATTATAAATAAATTCATCAAAAAATGAATGATCTTCTTTAAGAATATGTTAATCATATTTCATATAACGATCCTTAAAAACATGGATAAAATGTATTCATTTATCAATTGTTTGAAAAATTTAATTTTCAAATGACGCTTATCATAATCTAGTTAATTGTAAATAATCAGCTCATTTACAAGTAAAACTACTAAAGGAAAATGGTTGAGGTCGCGCAAAATCCCTAGATTAATCACAGAGTTAGACATTAATACCGTTGGATGCCGGCCCCAGTGGTCCAGAGGTTAGGCGTTTGCAAACAAGACCAAAGGTCCTGAGTTCGAATCCTGTGAGGTGCAGGAGTCGTGGATGCACACTGCTGATGAGTCCCATACCAGGACAAAATGGCCGTCCAGTGCTTTCAGGTTTCTAATGTTGGTCTAACAATGATTGATTGATGATTTCAAATGTGTTAAAAACACTAATCTCCATAACTCTAATTGAAAATAATATTTTACTCAAGTAGAAAAAAAATTCGATTTCTACAAAATAAAAGACAATTTGATGGTAATTTCAGTAAGTAAAAGAAAAAACCCAGATTAGATACTAAAGATTATCAACATCGGATTTATCATAATTTGTGACACCTTGATATATAGCATTTCGATATGTCTTGATGAATATATGTAACACAAGTTATCGAATGAAGATTTAATGACTGCTTATTAAAATATTTACTATTGAAATGAAACATCTGTGTATTACTTTCCGATTGTATAATGATTCTAGAGATGATATGAGTTATTTTATACAATAATTCATATAGATTCATTATAAAACTCTTTTTTTCCCAGTAAAAGCAATATTTTTTTGAAGTTATACGAAGTACCTTACTGTTTATGTATAGAAACTAAAACAAGGTTTATAGGTTTTCAGTTTGATTGAAATGTAATTGACAGAAATAAACTGCTTTTTTTTACAGTTTTTACTGATATTATTCAATATTGATTGAGTATTTTATCAAATTATTAAGATAAAAATAATCTTTGAAATTGAAATGATGACATAGTTACTAACATTAATTTTAAAACACATTTTGATATATTAATTAATTAGTTAATTATTAATTGATGTCTATTATTTATTCAATTGTTAATTAAATATTTCATTTCATTACTGAGTTTTACTGAAATGTAGAATGATAATCAGAAATAGCTGACAAGAAACCCTGGATCTAGGCTTCGTGATATTTGATACTTATCAGAGTAATCTGCACGTGTAATCTTGGGGGAACTGATAGGTACCTGATATGCATGACCCAGAAGTTAATTAATTATGTATAATATTCTTTACAAAACAATGTTAAAACTTAAATACTATGTCAATAAGAAAGTTTAGTTGGTACATCAGATTAGAAAAAATATATATATCTGTTATATAAGTTTGCTATCAAACTAAAATGAACTTTGGTGGTTAGTTTTTACCTCTGACAGGATAAGAGGAACGATTTATCATTGATCGATTACTGGGTAGTGACTAATATCGTATAAGTCAGTTCATTTTTAGTGCTGATCGAATTCTACTAGTCAAGTCGTAATATGGACACTATTCCAGATGACTGTATATCACGTGCACTACGTTGACATCCAAGGTAGTGATTAGAGGAAGTTGACAAGAAACCCTGGATCTATGTTTCGTTCTTTTTAGCACTCGTCGAATATAACTTCAGGATCTCCAATCGATGACCTCCAACGAGCGCCATAGAATAGAATGTGACCATAATTGACTAGAATTAGGACAATTCACAAACGATTGACTCATTGTGATGAAACAACGGATGATAATACTGTTGCTGGATGTCAATGCAAGGATGAAAACAATAGCTCTTAGCAAAAATGAAATAAACTCGTAAAAAACATTTAAATTAAAAGGCTTGTACCATACTCATCTAAGGAGAGATGCTAATATATCAAGCTATGACGTAATAGATGATAGCTAAGGCCCGTTACTTGATTCACCTTATTCTCAAGGTCTATAAATAGCATCAGGGTATACTTGCACATCAGCTGTTGTATTTAATTACCACATTTTACTTATTTATATATTTTATGATAAATAGTAGGAAACAGTTTGAGTTATTCAACATACTCTGACCTTCACATAAGACCAATTCACATCACAACATATGAATTGAAACACAACTAACTTATCCTCCTATGCCATGACAACAACAACAAAATTAAGTATGGATTGATACTATATGAAAATTAGAATTTGCAATCTAATTCATCACTAACTAGTATATATATTTATCGTAAGAAACTAATTACTTCACTACTGAAATATGGTAGTTGTTGATGAATTAAAAAAAATTGATTATCACACCGAATAAAAATGCTTTTGTTAGTTAATTAAAAATCAAAACTTGAAATATTTTTTGGAAAAAAAAAAAATTCATTGAGTTACATTACTCAGTGCCTATTTGTTTTTGTTTGAATTTCTGCCACCATAGTTAAACATGCGAAAAAGCTTTATGAGCAAACACATACACACAACACAACACAACACATATGCACATAATTACATGAAAAAGATAATATTTTCACTATGTGATTTTTTTGTTTTTTGATATTTTGAACTAGTTATAGACCACCATGGTATAATATACAGGTAATAAAATTTTAATTAATATTAAAGAACAAAGTGAGGACTTCATTATTGTTCTTTTTTTGAGTTATATATATATATAATATGCATACATAATGTTACGGAGATTATTTGATGAATAAATACGTAATAGACGAATTCACTTGTTGCTTGTTTATGAAATAATTCGTTTTACACTTGAATAGTCACTAAGTATGTGTGTTGTATTTATCTGTATGCAATCCCATGATCTTGATGACGTTAGGATGATGCATTTAATCAAAGCAAATATATATATATATATATATATATATATATATATATATATATACATGAGTATTTATCGACCAGTTAAGCCGAATGTGTGTGTGCGAAAAGTGGGAGTTGACAATAGTATTTTAGAAAGGCGACAAATACAAATAACTTACTTTAAAATTATATATTATTTATTGCTTTCAGTACAATAGTTATTCCAATAAACATAATGCGTGTATCACAATCACAATTAGGTAAATTTCTATTTACAAACTTGAAATCTACACACAATTTATGAAGTATTCACCATTATTCAAATAAAAAAGTGTTTATTAAATCAATTATTCCCACCTGTTAAATGAATATACATAAATATGCACGAATAAGTTCTTTGATAGTTCCGTTGCCAAAGAATGATTTCAGTTAGTGAGTGAGTGAGTGAGAGAAAGAATGAAAGCCAAAGAGTGCTAGATAGATATTTGTCAGTCAACTAGTAAATGGTGAGAAAAACCACAAAATCAATTTTTTTTCAATTTGAAAATTGATAACTATTTGATATTTCTAATGAAAAATATTTCTCCTAAAGAGGTCCGAAAACAATCTTCATTAAATGGTATTATTTATTCATCTGAAATGTATATCTATCAACCATTCAAAGTTAAATCAATACAGTTGCTTAGTACATTTTTATGATTATTAATTAGGCTTTTGTCAACTGTCAGTAATAATATCGCTTTAAAATAAAAAAAAAGTAAACAATTCGTCTTTATAACTTGTCTTAGTACTAAGTAAAAGACTCAGGTTAAAAAAGGGATTTCAACGTATACTTTCTTTTACTGAGATAAAGTTATAATAATCAAGTTGAAAAAGTAGTAAAACTGGCAATTTAAGACCAGATAAGACTATTAAAATATAAAACAGTTTCAAATAATTCAATCATAAAATATTTTGATAATGACATACCAAACTTCTACCAAAGCAATATAGCATAACAGACTAAACAAACATTGAAAACTTGAATATTGAAAATCATTGTTGTACTTTTTTCTATCATGTCAAGGTAGTTCATTTCTCGTGAGTTGTAAAACAATTCAGAAAGAATTTTTATTCAGTAGGGAAGAAAAACAAAGAAAGTAATTTAAACACGAAACATTGAAAAACACATCTTTGTTTGCTTAATTCAAAATTAGTTTATGTTCAATTTAATTTAAGAAGACACTTCAATTTTGAATGGTATTGTCTTTTGTTAGCCAGTGTAGTGGTTTATAAATGAGTGTTGTGATTCTATGTCTAAGTAAGTTATAAAACTATATATTTAGTTCTAAAATATCCTAAATGAATAAACTGTTCAGTATTGAAATTATTCTTTTTGAAATCTGTAGATAAGTTTTCATCTTTAGGAATAGAACTTGACTTGAATAATTTTCTGTCACTTCATGGTTTTATAGTCATTGATGAGGATTGTCTTGTCAAAATTCACAGAATGAAAGACGGCAGAAATGATAAATGAACCCCGGTCATTTTGATTGGTTTATAGGAAAGGTTGGTAGTCATTTATTATGATATATTGGAGGGAAGAAATTTTACGGCGTATATGGAAAGAATAATTCAAATAAATGAGCAAAACTGAAAACCTATTGACTAGTTTATCTTGTTTAAATATACGATAGTAATTTGTGTGTGTGCAAGGCATTTCCTTCTTTATGACTAGACTACAACAGCACCACTCTGGATGTTAATTTCTTCTGTCCAGCTTATGTCCAATGGATTTCACTTATTCCAAGCACCTCCAGGTTGAATTTTCTCGACTGAATAGCTACTTAAGTGGTCCTATTGGTCATCCATAATGTGCAAACATTCCGTGCACCGATGTTCATCCTTACATGTAACAACACATTGAGCATCAGCCAAATCAAGCC